GGTGAAAAAGGTGAAGAGATTAAGAAGTAAAAATTGGTTATTAGACTGACAAACCTCAAAGGGAAGGGGGCTGGGGGTGGGAGGAGATAAACCCCCCAATTTTTTTTTTTTTTAATCCTCACCCGAGGATTTACCCCTTTTGTTCAGGTAGAGTGGGAGGGAGAGACAGGAACAGAGAGAGAGAGAGAGAGAAACATCGACGTGAAAGGGACACATCAAGTGGCTGCCACCCTCACGACCGACCAGGGCCGGGGACAAACTGCAACCGAGGTACGCGCCCCTAGCGGGAACCGAACCCGGGCCTCTCGGGACCGCAGGTCGACGCTCTAACCGCTGAGCCAAACCGGCCAGGGCGATAAACCCAAAAATTTATATGTATATATGCATAACCAATTGACACAGACAGCAGTGTGGGGAAAGGCAGGAGGGGGGCAGGAGTGGGGAAGAGGGGGTCAATAAGGGAAAAATGAGGAATATCTGTAATACATTCAACAATAAAGATAAAAGAAAGCACGCATGACTCATATATATGTTGTGTATAAGAGACCCACCTCACAACAAAAGACTCACATAGGTTGAAAGTGAAGGGATGAAAAAAAATCTTCCATGCAGAGAGAAAAAAATAGTTGGGATAGCAATACACATATCTGATAAAATAGATTTCAAAATGAAGGCCATAACTAAAGACAAAGAGAGCCACTACATAATATTTAAAGGATCTATCTAACAACGAGATATAACCTTGGTAAACATAGATGCATCCAATATCAGAGCACCAAAATACATTTAAAATCTTCTGGAGGACTTCAAAGGAGAAATCGAAAGCAATACAATCAGAGGAGGGGACTTCAACACCCTGCTGACAACACTGGATAGATCCTTTAGACAAAAAATGAACAAGGACACAGAAACTCTAAATGACACACTGGATCAAATGGATTTCATAGATATCTACAAAGAATTACATCCTAAAACTGGAGAATTCACATTCTTCTCAAGTGCACATAGGAAATTCTCAAAGATAGACCACATATAGGAAACAAAGTAAGTCTCTACAAACTCAAGACGATTGAAATCATATCAAGCATCTTCTCAGATCACAATGGCATGCAACTAGAAGTCAATTGCAACAAGAACATGCAAAGACATTTGAAAACATGGAGGCTAAATAGCATGTTATTGAACAATGAATGGGTTACCATGGAGATCAAGGAAGAAATTAAAACCTTCCTGGAAACGAATGAAAATGAACACACAACAACACAAAATCTATGGGATGCAGCAAAGGCAGTTCTGAGAGGGAAGTACATAGCACTACAAGCCTACTTCAAGAAACAAGAAAAATTTCTAATTGACAATCTAACCTCACAATTTAAAGACCTTGGAATTAATCAAACAAACAAAAAACCCCAGAGCAAGGAGAAGGAAAGAAATCTTAAAGATCAGAGCAGAAATAAACAATATAGAGACCAAAAAATGATTCAAAAGATCAATGAAACAAAGAGCTCGTTCTCTGAAAAGAAAACCAAGACTGATGGACCCTTGGCTAGACTCACCAAGAACAAAAGATTGTCAACAAATACTATGAACAATTATACGGCAACAAAATTGAACAATCTAAGTGAAATGGACAAATTTCTAGAAACACATAGTCTTCCAAAACTGAACTGGGAAGAGACAGAAAACTTGAACAGACTAATAACAACTAAGGAAATTGAGATGTCATCAAGACTCTCCCAGCAAAGAAAAGCTCAGGCACAAACGGCTTCACGAGGGAATTTTACCAAACATTCAAAGAAGAACTAACACCCATTCTCCTCATACTATTCCAAAAAAATTCAAGAAGAAGGAAGACTTCGAAACTCGTTTTATGAGGCCAGCATAATTCTAATTCCAAAACCAGAAAAGGACACTACAAAGAAAGAAAACTACAGGCCAATATCCCCGATGAACATAGATGCCAAAATCGTGAACAGAATACTAGCAAATCGAATCCAGCAATACATTAACAAAAATTATTCACCAAGTGGGATACACCCCAGGGATGCAAGGCTGGTATGATATTGGCAAATCAATAAATGCAATGCACCACATAAACAAAATGAAAGTTAAAAACCATATGATCATATCAATAGACACTGAAAAAGCATCTGACAAAATCCCACACCCATTTCTGATAAAAACACTCAGCAATGTGGGAATAGAAGAATCATATCCTGACATAATAAAGGCCATATGTGAAAAACCTATAGCCAACATCATTCTCAATGGGAAAAAACTAAAAGCATTTCCCTTAAGAACAGAAATAAGACAGGGGTGCTCACTTTTGCCACATAGTACAGGAAGTCTTAGCCACAGGAATTAGACATGAAGAAAAAATAAGAGGGATCCAAATGGGAAAGAAGAAAGTGAAAGTGTCATTATTTGCACATGACATGATAGTATACATAGAAAACCCTAAAGACTCCATCAAAAATCTATATTTTTAATAAACAAATTTGGCAAGGTAGCAGATATAAAATTAATGTCAAGAAATCAACAGCATTCTTATACTCCAACAATGAACTCACAGAAAGAGAAACTAAAAAAACAATTCCATTTACCGCTGTGGCAAAAAAATTAAGATACTTAGGAATAAAGTTAACCAAAGAAGTAAAGGACCTATTTCGAGAAAACTACAGGACATTGAAAAAAGAAATAGAGGAAGATATAAAAAAGTGGAAGCACATACCTTGTTCATGGATTGAAAGAATTAACATTAAAGTGTCCATACTGCCCAAAGCAATCTATAGATTCAATGCAATCCCCATCAAAATACCAATGACATATTTCATAGAACTAGAACAAATACTTCAAAAGTTCATATGGAACCAAAAAAAAAAAAAAAAAACCCAAATAGCCACAGCAATCTTGAAAAAGAAGGACAAAGTAGGTGGGATCGCAATACCGGATATCAGGTTATACTACAAAGCCACAGTAATCAAAACAGCCTGGTACTGGCACAAGAACAGGCATATAGATCAATGGAACAGAACAGGAACCCTGGAAACTGACCCAAGATATTATGCTCAATTAATATTTGACAAAGGTGGCAAGAGCATTCCATGGAGTAAAGACAGTGTCTTTAATAAATGGTGCTGGGAAAACTGGACCACTACATTAAAAAAAATGAAACTAGACCATCAACTTACACCATACATAAGAATAAACTCAAAATAAATGAAAGACTTAAATGTGACTCATGAATCCATAAAAATCTTAGAAGAAAAGGCAGGCAACAAAATTTCAGACATCATACGCAGCAGTATTTTTACTGATACATCACCTAAGGCAACAGAAACAAAGGAAAAAATACACGGGACTACATCAAACTAAAAAGCTTCGGCACAGCAAAAGAAATAACCATGAAAATGAAAAGAGAATCCACTATATGGGAGAGCATAACTGCCAATGATACGTCAGATAAGGAGTTAATTTCCAAAATATATATACAGTGCTCATACAACTCAACAAAAAGAAGACAAAGAACCCAATTAAAAAATGGGCAGAGGACCTACGTAGACACCTCTCCAAAAAGAACATACAAATGGCCAAGAGACATATGAAAAAATGCTCAACGTCACTAATCATCAGAGAGATGCAAATTTAAACAACTATGAGATATCACCTCACACCTGCCAGAATGGCTGCCATCAACAAATCATCAAAGAAGAAGTGCTGGCAAGGGTGTGGAGAAAAGGGGACTCTAGTATACTGCTGGTGGGAATGCAGACTGGTGCAGCCACTATGGAAAACAGTATGAGGTTTCCTCAAACAATTAAAAATTGATCTGTCATTTGACCCAATGATCCCACTTCTAGGAATATACCCTGAGAAGCCTGAAAGACCAGTTAGAAAGAATATATATATCCCTATTCATAGCAGCACTATTTACAGTTGCTAGATCTGGAAACAGCCCAAGTGTCCATCAATAGATGAGTGGATAAAAAAGCTATGGTACATATACACAATGGAATACTACGCAACAGTAAGAAAGAAAGATCTTTTATCCTATGAGACGACATGGAGGGACCTCAAGAGTATTATGCTAAGCAAAATAAGCCAATCAGAAAAAGACAAATACCACATGATCTCACTTTGTGGAATATAATGAACAAGGTGGGCTGATGAATGAAATAGACTCAGAGATATAGAAAGGAGTATGGTTCAGACTGAGAAACCTCAGAGGAGGGGGCAGGGTGGATGAATGAAATGAATCAAAGAACTTACATGCATGTATGCATAACCAATGGACATAAACAACAATGCTGGGGGGGATGGGGAGGAGGGTGTCTAGGTGGGGAAAAGGAGAAACATCTGCAATCAAAATAAATTAATAAAGATTGGAAGAAAAAAAAAGAAACAGTTTGGAAAAAAAAGAGAACAGGACAGCCCTGGCTAGTTTGGCTTGGCAGTCAGAGCATCAGCCAAAGAGTTGTGGGTTCGATTTCAATCAGGAGCCTGTACCTCAGTTGCAGTTCAGTCCCTGGTCCTGGTCGGGGTCATGCAGGAGGCAACCGATTGGTGTGTATCTCTCACATTGGCATTTTTCTCTTTCTCTACCCGTCTGTCCCTCCCACTCTATCTGAAAATAAATGGAAAAATAGCCTCGGGTGAGGATTAAAAAAAAAAAAAAAAACAGAGCAGGGCAATAGGTAAGGAAATTGGGGTGAGATGAGGAAGGTCAAAATCTAAGCAAGTCTGCTGGGGTGACAGAAATAAGGTACTGCAGACAGCCCATAAAACTTCAACAGCTCTGATATAGAAGTTATACTTTTGATAGATATACACTCACCTTTGAGTACACATGAATTAAAAACTCTTCTGTAATAGCATTGAGCCACTAGGTCTTTTCTATCTGTTTCTGGCATGACCTAAAAAATCCCTACCCTTTCACCAATATGGAGGGACAGAAAGATCAGGCTTTAAGCTACTCCATGAGGAGGTTCTTGCTACTTTACCTGGAATCCCATCGGTCTGTTTTAGAATCATACTTATAAGTGGGGATAAACTTGATTTCTCCTTCAGTGAAGTCAGCAAAAGCTTTTTTCTGTGTGCGCTGAATATTTAGCTAGAAATAGAAAGAATCATCACATAAGCAGGGTAACACCATCTTAATATAAGTGACAATCGGGTTGATTGGCCATTTCTAAGTAGCTAGTTCCACAGCCTTTGTCACTGTAAGAGTATATAAATAAAATTTCTATACTTTATGAATTAAATTATACCATTTCCATAGTACCCAAACTCACCAACAGATAGGATGTTCATTATGAGCACATCTCTAATTATTTATTGGTAATAGTGGTCAGGTAAAATGGAAAAATGGAATATGAATAATGTTAAATTCCCTGAAGTTGGACAAGAACCATCTATCACAACTTTACACTTTAAAAAAGCACACAAATGTTGAATGGATAATTCCAAAAGTCAAATTCAGTGAATAGCTACAGATAGTTTTGGAAGTTAACCTTACTCAAATATTTAACCAGAATTATACACAACTAAGAATTTATTCCAACTGAACCCCCTTTGGAGGCAGAACAGAGGAAGCCATGCAAAGAAATTAGCCAGCCAACCTCAATGTGAAGGAAGACACAGCCAAGAAAGGCTCACCATAAAAACCATTCTACTGCAAAACACCTGAAATTTGATTATGTAAGAAGGTCAAAAGTCTCACGGAAGGATTTAAAGACATTCAAATCGGGTCGAAACATTTTCTTCCCTTAATAAGAAGCATTCACTTTTAGCATCCAGTATCCATAGCTGAAACAAAAATTCAAGTCATATGCTAGGTTCTGAGGCAAATTTACAGAAAACTAGATTCTGGAATATCAAGTTTTATATAAATGTTATGAATCAAGGGTTTCCCCACAAGTTTTAACAACTGTAATCCAGCTAGCCCCAACTTCTCAATCAGTTTCCATTAAACCACAGTCTGTGTTATTTGTCCCAGACAAACTTCTTTTCTGTGCCTCTCAATACCCTTCCAGGGCCTCCCTCTTTTACCTCCAAACTGTTACTGAGCCTGCCAAATAATCACAGAGCAGCTTTCCCTGTTCCATCTGCCAAACCACATCAACATGGCCGAACGCCCACTTCCTCCAGGAAGTGTTCTCTAATTCATCCCACCCATTCTCCAACTCACTGACACAAATCTCTTCTTGATAAAGACTTAATGAATAACCCTTATATTTACTCTTTGAAAATTTTTTATCTTATTGTCGAGAGTATTACAGATCTCCCCCATTGCCTTCCTCCTCTGGGTTCCCCACCCTGTCCCAGGCCTTCACTACTCTATTGTCTGTGTCCATGGGTAATGCATATATGCATATACATTCTTCAGTTAATCTCTCCCCTCCTGCCATCTAGGTGCTTAATAAAAGCACTATAAACCTTGTGTGTATTCACTGCATCACACTGTAGCCACACTGATTCTCTAGAGCAGTTCTCAACCTGTGGGTCGCTACCCTTTTCGGGGTTGAATGACCCTTTCACAGGGGTCGCCTAAGATATAACCGTAGCAAAATTACAGTTATGAAGTAGCAACAAAAATAATTTTATGGTTGGGGGGGTCACCACAACATGAGGAACTGTATTAAAGGGTTGTGGCATTAGGAAGGTTGACAACCACTGCTCTAAACAATGACACCTTTCCATCTATTCCTAGAGTAAGACACACCTCTCACCGGTCTAATTCATAAACCTAACAATTTTATCTGCTATCTAGGAAAGTACCTATAAAATGAAATTTTACTTACCTGGTCAAATTTCAGGAGTCTCTGAAGGTCATTCTTGTTAATAAGACTCTTCACTTCATTGGCATCAGGCATGCAAAGTCTGTAGTTCAAATCTCCCAGCCAGATGACAACACTGAGGATCAAGAAATATATGAACAGAAGTAGCCATAATTAGCATAAAAATCAATCAGAGAACAGAGGGAAGAAAAATGGGTATTGATAAGGATTTGTTTATCACTATCTGTTAAGGGGCTGAAGCTGTAACTATCCTCTGCAGGCCAGCACTATCAACAACTGAGAGGGACTAGAGATTACAAAATAGGCAGGAGGCCCTGGCTGGTTTGGCTCAGCGGTTAGAGCTTCAGACCATGGACCGAAGAGTCACGGATTCGATTCCAGTCAAGGGCACATACCTCAGTTGTGGTTTGTCCCCGGCCCTGGTCAGGGTCATGTGGGAGGCAGCAAATCAATGTGTCTCTCTCACATCGATGTTGCTTTCTCTCTCTCTCTTCCCCTCTCCCACTCTACCTGAAGATACATGGAAAAATATCCTTGGGTGAGGATTAAAACAAATAAACAAAAAATAAGCAGGAGGATAGGCCCGCCAAACATGAAGAACAAAGACAGGCAAATAATACAGTGCATATATGGGATTCAGAAGCCCAGGAGTTAACTGCCTGAGAGGCATGTAGTTTATTTGCTGGACTAGCTTCAAAATTTTGCTTGGCTGCTTGCCAGGTCTCTAGGGGAGGAGAATCTGAACGTTTTCTACCTCTATGAGCCTTGACATTGCGCAGGCTCTCCGCTAAAGTTTGCATGGTCTGAATGATACCTATCCCAGTCAGGGCTCACTAGGAAAAGTGGGCCCAGGGCTCTTTGCTGCAGCCAATCTATCTATCCATGCCCTAGATTCACACTCCAAAGGAAGAAAATAGAATGGAATATGTTGGGATCCATATGCTCCCATGAGATCCTGAGGCTCCCAATCACATAAACAGGCCCCTAGATGTGCTGAGAACCCCACAGGTGGGACCTTGAAATTACCATACTAAAATGGATTCTCCTGTGAACTATCTCAAGCACTGAATGAATCTCTTTGCCAATCTTAAGTGCAACACAAAATTTCTTGAATCTTGGGAAAATAATTTCATGGAACTTCAGGGCAACTTTATGACCATTAATGTCAAGGCCTTGACTTTATCACCGTGAAACAGAATTTCATATGATCCTAATTGTTTTTAATTTTTATTCCTCACCTGAGGATATTTTTCTACTTATTATCAGATAGAGTGGGAGGGAGGGAGAGAGAGAGAGAGACAGAGAGAAATATCAATGTGACAGAGCCACATCGACTGGTTGCCTCACGCACGACCCAACCAGGGCTGGGGACAAACCTCAACCAAGGTACATGCCCTTGACCAGAATCAAACCTGTGACTAATTGGTCCACAGGCCGACGCTCTAACTGCTGAGCCGAACCAGCCAAGGCTGATCCTAATTGTTGAGACAATATGGAAACAGGCCAACATCACTATCCTTCCCTACTCTTTTCTCAATTACCCTACTCTCTATTGATTCTAATATCCCAAGATTATCTTTTATTTTCCTACAATTCCCATTTAAAACCACTTATTCTAAACCACATCATCCTCTCAGAATTTCAATTACCAGTATTAGTTTCTTTACGACTAATCATTTTCTACCACCCAATCCATTTCTCAATTGATTTCTGCTTCTATCCTTATTAAGTCCCATTCTTCACTAACCTTCTCTCATATTGATCCATTGGGGTCTTGAAATCTCCACCATCCCTATTCTTAATGATTCACAGCTACTAAAAGAACAATGTAGATCTATATATACTGGCTTGAAAAGAGATTGACAATGACAGCATAATATAGTCCCATATAATGTGTTTGTATGTGAATAGAGAAAAGTCTAGAACAGCACTATTCAAAAGTAATACAATGCACATCACAAGTATAATTGTAAAATTTCTAGTCATTGCCTTTAAAAAGTAAAACAAGTGAAAATAACTTTTAACAATAAATTTCATTTAACTTAATACATTCAAATTATTATTTCAACATGTAACCAATACTAAAATTTTTAGATATTTTACATGTTTTCCCAAATCGCTGAAATCCCCTGTATAGTTTATGCTTATAGAACATCTCAGTTCAGCCTAGCTGCTTTCCAGGACCCCAGCCACCCATGGCTACTGGCTGTCGTATTGGACAGCATAGACCTAGAAGGATACACACCAAACTGTTAGTAGTGGTTTCCTTTGGAGAGAAGGATTGGCTGGGGAGAACAGAGGATAAGAAATCAGGGATTTTTACTTTTAATTTTATCTTTTATTACATTTACAATAAACATTTCTATTTTATCATTAAAAAAACAATAAAAACTGACTCCAATCAATAGATCCCTCCTGTGTTACTCTAGGTGCCCTCTAACAGAACTAACCTTTACCTCTGATAGCATCTAATTTCTCTGCCTCAAAATGAATCTGCTATTCCTCCAAATCCTCTCTTCTCTGTAACCCCATTCCTAAATGGTAATCCTTTACTCTTCACAGTTCTACTTTCTCAACACTTTTATTCTTTGTTCAGCGCCACCATTCCAAGGCTAAAGGAGACTTAACTACTCACTCATGTTTCATGATATTCAGCTGCGGGAGGGCCTGATTTGGAACCACAAAACTCATTCGTGCACAGATGTCCTTATAATCTTGATTCCTTCTCTCAAAGTCCTCCACATGGGCAGCCAGGTGGGAATTGACAATGCAAAATGTAGTGTTGTGAAATACAAATCTCACAGCTACCCCACCTTTGTTTCCCTATTGACAAGAGTAATTATTCACAGTTAGTACAAAGATACAAATAGTAATTGAATTTCACAGGTATATACATAATAATCAAGCTCATTTCCAAAGGCACTCACCATTTTCCCCATGATTCCAGTTCCAACCGTTTCTGTAGCAACATCACGGATATACTGCCACTGATCCTTTCTGGCAAATATCAGGAGCATCATCCCAACAAGGCGAACTAGTTGAACCTATGAGATCCGAGGAGTTAGAAAAGGTTCGTGTTAATACAGTACCACTCTTTTAAGATACCACATATCGAACTTCGCACAACTAATTTTCCACCTAGAAGACATAACAAATGCCCAAGTCTGAATCCAAATCATCTGATTTCTCAGTGGACACCTACAAAGAGGAAACAAAATTTCTCTGGGGAAGCTCTAATATGGCTATGACCAACATGAGTTAAGTCTTTAAGGGACAATGAGTACACTAAGCTCTAGAGCCATTCTTTTACTCCCTTTTTTAGCCTATCAGGAGCAGGGAGCACTAAAAATTCAAACAGTCAAGAGAAAGTCTATCCTGCTTGTTCCTTTTGCCCTCCTTCCTAGTTTCTGATTTCCAATTTCCTAAGAAATGAATATTTATTACCTACATCAACTGTAAGATAGATAAAAATTACTCAGGCTAATGACTCCTTTTAAAGGTCTTAGTGTGGCCCTGGCTGGTTTGACTCAGCGGTTAGAGTGTCGGCCTGTGAACCAAAGAGTCTCGGGTTCGAGTCCAGTCAAGGGCATGGACCTCGGTTGCAGTTCAGTTATCGGCACTGGTCGGGGTCGTGCAGGAGGCAACCAGTCGATGTGTCCCTCTCATGTGGATGTTTCTCTCTCCCTCCCTCTCTCCTTCCCACTCTACCTGAAGATAAATGAAAAAAAAAGTATCTTCAGGTGAGGATTGATAATAATAATCACAATCATAAAAATAATAAAAACAAAGGTCTTAGTGTGGTAGCCCTGAAATTAAAATAACTCTTCTGGCAGCCTCTACCTTGTTCCTTCTAAAGACCAACAAATTGGCTCACCTTGCTAAAGTCAACTGTACTCTTGACTTACAACCAAGTTTAGAACTCATTTAAATTCCACAACACTTGTATTCTTGCTCTGATTCCAAAACACACCCTATGCACCCACATGCTTCAAACTGCTTTTCTGTGAAGCATCCATTTCTGACCATGTCAGTGAACAACTTCAACCTTAAACTCTTACTACACAAATCAGTGACCTTATATATAATTACTTTGAGTTAATTATTGTTATAAGAACAAAATTCTTTTTTTCTCTCCTAAAAGTTACCTGAGCAATGAAAATATAGGATTAGAAAACTCAGGGAATTTTTTCCCTAGAAGATAGGTATAAAAAGGATTAGTCTGCCCTGTCCCGATATTATACAGGAGAAAAAATTTAATTAAACTGTTCTTTTGGAACAAGTTACAGTCATCCCTCACCACTTCACGCTTTGACTCTCGCGGCTTCACTCTATCATGGTTTTTTCAAATATATTCATTAAAAGGTTGATCGAGACAGTGAAAATGATACAGCGCGTGCTCGGTTGTCTGAGTCAATTATATACCCCTGTATTACAATTAAAATGAAAATTGCTGTACGTATGGACTAGGCCTACATATTCGAGCACCCCTGCAAATCCTTCAAAGCCAGGTGCAACTGCTCGACCACTCCTTGTGTGTGGGCGATAATTTTTTTCCAAAAAATCAGTTGTGGTGAAACCAAGCCAATCAGAGCGTTCTGTTCACTGATTGGCTATCCTATCCTCTTCCTATCCTGGCCAATGATTGGCTCAGCCTCATGCAAGTTTGTTTCTCTCATACATGCTCCTACATCACTATGCATCAAAAGCATCTTTGCTCTTGTAAGTGTTTGCGATTTCTGAGAACTTTATCTAAGCCCCACGATGGCTCCTAAATGTGCTGCTTCTTCTAAGCCTTCTGACGATGAAACTAAGCACCAGAGGAAGATGCTTACCATCCAGAAGGTGAAACTCGGATATGATCAAAGATGGCAAGAAAATCATAGAGGTTGCCCGCCATTATGACTTGAATGAGTCTATCGTTTGCTCCATCCGTAAAGATGAAAAGAACATCCGTGCAACAGCTACTGTCTCTTTCAACAAGGAAGCAAAGCGCATCGTGACAAGTCATAATAAGTTCATAGTGAAAACGGAGTCTGCCCTAGCTGTCTGGATCAGCAACAGCCGCAAGAAAAATATTACACTGGATTCACTGGTCATCCAGGAGAAGGCGAGGCAGCTCTATCAGCACTTCACGGCGGACAAACCTCAACCAGGACCCTCTTCATGGATTTCAAGGTAAGCAAGGGTTGGTTCTAGAAGTTCCAGAAGAGGTATCATATGGAGTGTTGTTCTCCATGGAGAAGCTGCCTCTGCTGACCAGCCTGCAGCAGAGGACTACGTGAACAACACGTTCCAGAAGATCCTTGAGGAGGGTGAGTATCATCCAGAACACGTGAATGAGCTGCTGAAGACACATTCGGATCCCTTAACTGACGAGGATCTGGTGGAGATGACTAAGTCTTCGATTGAGGAGGAGGAAGAGCAGCCAGAGGTTCCTGGGGGTCAGGAGGAGGAAGTTGGCCTTACACTTGAGCGTCTCTGGCAAGTTGTGAGAACTATTAAGGTAGTACAGGACATGATTGGCAAATGGGACCCACAAATGATGTGTGCATTGCGGTCATGGAATGCACTTGATGGAGTGATAGAACTCTACAAAAGCCTCCTCACACATATGAAAAGACAGCGCCAGCAACTGCCTATCACGATGTTCTTCAGCTGCACACCCAGACACCCACTGTCTACTCCTAGTACTCCTTCAGCGGAAGAAGATGACGACGCGCCTGCTGAAGATACTGCACCACCTGAAGACTCTCCTACTGAGGTCGTGCCTTCAGAGGAGCAGTAACCTTGCTCTTCTTTGCTGTGCAGTATATCTCTTCATCTTCATCGCTTCATCATTGAACAAGATGCACTATTTTCATAGGTCAGTGGTGATGTATAAGAACTGTTTGTGTGTGTAATTTTTTTGTGTGTGTGTGTGTGTAATTAAATGTACAGTAATAATATGATATTTGTAATGTCTAATACATCTTATTTTCTTTTATTTTGTCTAATATATTGAGTAATACGAGTGTAATGGTGACTAAAGGGTGTTATTTCATGTCTAGAGGGCTCTAATAATGTTAAAAAAACATATTTAGAAGGTTGTAAACAGGTTTTCTATGCTCTAACTGCGAAAATATTCGACTTTGTGGAAATTCGTTTATTGTGATAGAGTCTGGAACTGATTACCCATGATAAATGAGGGCCAACTATATACATAACAATCCTAGGGAGTTCTATTTAGTCACATACTAAAAAAAGATAATTAAATGTGACTTACTTTCTTATACTTGGCTTTGGAATGCAAAGCCCTTTCCACAGCTATGGACCACTCTTGTTCCTTCATGGATTCAAAGTAGAAAAAGGCTTCTGTGCTCAAGTCCAGCTCTTGGAATCTGAGAAGCAAGAGGATGTGAAATCTGTATGTATCCCATAATTATCTCTGACTACTTGCTGTCCCACTTTGGGGTATTAGGTGAAAAAAGGAATGGGAGAAACAGAAATTTTATGAAATTGCTCTGTTGACCCAGGTGATCTGTAAGGATAAGTAGCTTTCTTTTCAAAAGACTCCCCACAAGTATATGCATGGACTATGCAAGATGTAAACACAAAAACCTCCATAAGGGATAACAGTAGAACTCTGCTTATATATCCTAGAAATAGTCACTGTTAGAATTGACCCCATGTCTCAGTTTCTGTGAAGAATACAGTTTTCTATGTGTTTCGAGAGGACTAGATGCTTCCTTATACCATTTTAGGTATCTATTCCTTTCTGATCTCACAAATTTGACCCACAAGTAACTCTTATTTATAGTCATTACAGCAAGTTTTTACCAAATAGCTTTTTTTACAAAAAGGAAGGCAAAATGTCACGTAAACAAACACCAAACATAAGCCAAAAGGAAAGTCCTGACATGTTCTTTACCCAATGCAGTAGATATCAGGAGGATTCGGATCACAGTTCAGCCAGGGTTCTAACCCACTATCTGGAGACTGGCCATTCACATTCCAAGTTCCAACAAAAAATCTAATACATAATACAAAAAAAAGTGTGAAAACAAAGGTCAAGAATGAACAAATGGAAGTTCTCTCATCACTTCTATACAAGGGTATGTTCACATCAAGCCAACACAATTTCTTAAATGTTTTGCCACACCCATAAGAAAAACCACTTGCATGTAGAACACAAAGGCAGTGAGTTTGTCCTCTCTTTAAATTTTACATTAGGTGAACCTGCAGAAAGAAACCAAGTCTCTATTTATTTTTATTTATTTATTTATTTACTTTTTTAATCCTCATCTGAGGACACTTTTTGCATTCATAGAGCGAGAGGGAGAGAGGGAGGAAGAGACAGAGCGAAGAAACATCGATGTGAGAGAGACACATCGACTGGCTGCCACCCACACAACCCCAACCAGGGCAGAGGATAAACTGCAACAAAGGTACGTGCCCTTAGCAGGAACCGAACCCAGGTCTCTCCAGACCGCGGGCTGACGCTCTAACCGCTGAGCCAAACCGGCCAGGGCACCAAGTCTCTATTTAAAAAACACAAAGTCAATTGCTCTGCCATATTTCCTTTCAATTCAACTCCATCCAAACTCATACTTGAAGGGAGAGCTTGTTGATGGGGAAGAGGTATCTTAGAAATGCTGTAAGCATATCTAATATGATAACTGTTGTGTAAGGAACTGCAGTTGAATCCAAAAACTTAATTCCAGGATTACAGGATATCTGTGTAGGACATTCTGCTGAGGCAGATATAGTTTTATTTTTTATTTATTTTTTATCCTCACCCGAGGACATTTTTCCATTTTTTGTTCAGGTAGAGTGGGAGGGAGAGAGAGAGAGAAACATCGATGTGAAAGGAACACATCGAGTGGCTGCCACCCGCACAACCGACCAGGGTCGGGGACAAACTGCAGCCGAGGTACGCGCCCTTAGCGGGAACCGAACCCGGGTCTCTCAGGACCGCAGGCCGACGCTCTAACCGCTGAGCCAAATCGGCCAGGGCGAGGCAGATATAGTTTTAAGGGGGAAAGCAGAAGGGAAATCTTCTGACTGTCTTATCAGGGATGGGGAACCTTTTTTCTACCAAGGGCCATTTGGATATTTATAACATCATTTGCAGGCCATACAAAATTATCAACTTAAAAATTAGCCTGCTATATATTTGATCAGGCATGTGATGGTAGGTGGTATTGATTTTGTGAGCCTTACATAGCCCTGGGGCCGGACGTTCCCCACCCTTGTCTTAACTGTTTAAATACAAATATAATCATCATGGGGAATATTAGAAACTGGAGGTTTTAGCATAGGGATATAGTTATGATTGAATTAGAATAAATGAGGCATAATGGGATAGCAGATGGGGCTGGAATCTTGGAATAGAAGGGTACATGTTGTTCACAAATAACAAAGAAAAGTGTTACTGCTTTGTACATTGGAATATACATTAGAATGCCATACCACACACACTGGGTCCAGAAAAGAAGATATCAACAAGTAAAGGTGACACGAAAAATATAATACAGAGGAGAGAATCTAAGAAAGATCTCCCCAGCAAGAGGATTAGGTGAAACTTTCTTTAGTTAACTACCAAAGTTAAGAAAGTTAAGATCTAGTGGTTATGGTAGACTTTAATTGTCTAATATTGGAGGGTAAAAATTCAGCAGGCCAGACAGATAAACACACTTGTATATGGACTATACTAGGGGATAATTCACTAGTACAGTGGCTTTCAACCTTTTTCCATCTTGTGGCACACACTAATTACTAACATTCTGTAGCACACCAAAAATATACTATATTTTTGGTAATCTGACAAAAAATACAGGTATGGTTTTGAGTCATTCACACCGGACAGCTTTGTTGTGTTGGCTGTTGTCATTTTTTAATTTGACAATCTAACAGAAAAGAGGTCACTATTCCTGACTAAATAATCAGGTATTGCATGTTTTAAAAATTCTTGTAGCACACCAGTTAGAAATCGCTGCTCTAGTACATGTGAGCTTGGTCTGGTTCCCTTAGAACAGACAGAAACATTAGTAGACATAGTATCATTAGTAGTTAGAAAATCCAAAGGAAAATGTAGTATTTGCATTATTTTGGATAGAGACAGGGGCTTAAATCAGCTGACCATTCCTTTTCATTATGCTTTGATTCTTAATTAAACTAATACCTTAAATATCAAGACCATTTTCTGCTATACTTCAGTACTACAAGAGAAACTAACCTGAAGGTCTGAATGTTGACATACTCTTTCTCTCGCTTTGCCAAGATATGTTTGATGAGGCCCTCCCGCTGCACAGACTGGTTATTTGGTACAAAGAGCTTCCGCATGGTGTTGGTCACTTTGGGCTGTTCCTTGTTAGAAGCTTCTTTGTCACGTGGAGGTCTAACAAATAAATGAGAAATTTGAAAGTGAAACTTCCTAAAATAGAAGTCTTCTACATGGGAAATGTGCTGTGACATAGGACTTACATTCTGTTCACTGAAGAGGGTGGGGGTGGAGGTTCCCTACGAATCCCCATAGGCTGATTTTGTGAATTTATTTTCTTGTCCAAATTCATAGATGAAAAATTATCCTCAAATCCAAGAAGCCCTAAAGGACACAGAACTTGGTGTCAAGGTGGGTTGGGGGGAATGGATAACATGCAACTTATCCAGGACAAATAGGGCTTTGCTTTGATCAGTGGTTTTGATTTAATCACTACTTAGTCAGTGGCAAATTCCAAACCAAAAGGTAGTGATAACTTAGACTGAGGGAAGAAACACATCTGTCCCTGAAGCACTGACATAGTAACTAGAACAGTAGTAAATTACATTAATTTGACCCTTAAATAATGAATGCTAACATTTATTGAAGACTTAGCACAATGCCTGGTTGATAGTAAGGGATTATATCTTATCTTAATCATCACAAAAACCCCATGAGGTCAGTGCTATTAAAAATCTTCCCATGGCCCTGGCTGGTTTGGCTCAGTGGTTGGAGCGTCAGCCCATAGACTTAAGGGTTGTGCGTTCAATGCTGGTCAAGGGCACATAACTGGGTTGCAGGTTTGATCTCTGGCTCGGGTCGGGGTCATTTGAGAGGCAACCAATTGATGTGTCTCTCTTATGTCAATGTTTCTCTCTGTTTCTCCTCCATTCTTCCTCCCTCCCTTCCACTCTCTCTGAAAATCAATGAAAAAATATCCTCGGGTAAGGATTAACAAAACAAAAGGTTAAAAAAAAATCTTCCCATGTTACAGAAAAATAAATGGAAGCTCTGAGTTATTGAGTAACTTGACCAAGGTCATATAACTAGTAAATTATAGAATTTGGAATTCAAACCAAGGAAGTATGGCCCTGGAATCTGCAGTGTTTTATTGTTATTGTTACCACACTGCTAAGTTGGCTCCTGAAGAGCTAACCTGCCACAGAAAGAATCAGGAGTGCACCTTGGTCAGTGGGCATAGACTCCATAAAACCACTCCATAGGAGATGCTTGACACTGATATTAATCCACATTTTATTATCTGTCCAGATAAAATCTATTGACTCTGCAATCGTCAAAGCAACTAGGGAAAAAAAAAGAATCTTTTCAGTACCTGAAACACAAGAAGGTTTGTCCTTAGTGTCTAATTTCTGGTACCAGCTGGATGAGTCCTTTTGTTCTGGAACAAGAAGTTGTGAGTGTGCTGGAGAGATAAAAGTCATGGTCAGAAACTGGGCAGCCCATCAATGAGTGGAATTTATGATAACCAAACGTCATTCACTCAGCACTCCTCAAATTCAGGGCCAGCATTCTTGAATGTAAAGGAAGAGACTAAGAAAATGAGAGCAGCTTAGAGATCATCTGGGGGCAGAAGGCAGATTACATTCTGTAGTAAGCTGTCATGCCATCACTGAAGATTCTGGAAACTGGCTCAGTGTCCTTAAAGCTGAATAGACTTGTGCCATAACCCATCCCTGGTTTCATTCCTGAATTTTAAAAAGTCAGCTATCAAGGCGCAGGGGGTGAGGTACTTTGCTCATGGTCATTTGCCTCTGTATTGGCATGTCAGAATTTCACTTCTAATCAAATTGTAGAAAAATGCTTCCAGATCTTAGCTATTATAAATAGTGCTGCTATGAACATAGGGGTGCATATATTCTTTCTGATTGGTGTTTCAGGCTCAGCAGTAGATGAGTGGATAAAAAATCTCTGGTACATATACACAATGGAGTACTATGTAGCTGTAAGGAAGAAAGATCTCTTATCCTTTGAGACAACATGGAGGGACCTGAAGAGTATTATGCTAAATGAAATAAGCCAATCAGAGAAAGACAAATATCACATGATCTCACTTATTTGTGGAATATAATGAACAAAATAAGCTGATGAACAAAATAGACCCAGAGACATGGAAGTAAGGATCAGAATGACAAACTTCAGAGGAAGAGGGTGGGGCAGAAAGAGATAAACCAAAGAACTTATATGCATATACACATAACGAATGGACCTAGACAATACTGTGAAGGAGGGGCACAGGAGCAGGGAGGAGGGGGTCAGTAGGAGAAAAAGAAGAAACATCTGTAACAAAAATAAATAAATTATTTAATTTAAAAATAAAAGAAAGAAAACTGCTGAGTCTTGGGTTACCTTCCTGAGCAGCAAGGACCTCTGACAGGAACTTCAAACAGTGTTCTTCATTAGGGATTTCAAAGCAGCGTTCTCTGGTCCAGTCCCCCTGAACCCGAATTTTGCAGCCACCTAAAATGAATTGAAATTCATACGCATATAACTATGGAATACACTGTTTTCTTGGGATCACATTCTCAACTTACCAGTTTAATAGGAGAAGGTCCAGATCACAACCAGACCTCTAATGTAGGAAGTATGGTGGGAAATCTAAGGGGCTGGTGAACTGTGTCAATGAGCAGCTCAATATAGTGATAATATATACTAAAATCATAGTTTTCTATGTTCTGATATATCTCTCAGATGTTAATGCAGGGACCTCTAAATTCTAGAAGATTAATTTTGCAACCACCTTCTTTCCATCTCCTAGCTGGAAATTCCTACCATTTCAAATCTAGATCATATAGTAAGAGTATCTGAAGTGTGATGTAAGTAAAATAAACAGGATGGTTGTTCCTAGGTACAGATTGCACCTAGGCAATTGAATTCATAAATTAGTTGAAAAGAATATGAGATTGGTTTGAATTATTTTGAAAAGAACCATCTATACCTCATTACTATTAAAAAAAAGTGTCTTCTTATTTGTGGAATATAATGAACATAACAGCCTGAGGAACAGGGTAGACTCAGAGATGTGGAAGTAGGGTACAGACTGACAATCTTCAGAAGAGGGGGTGGAGGGGGTAAGAGATAAACCACAGAACTTATATGCATGTATGCATAACTGATAGACATGGACAACAAAGCTGGGGATGGTGTGGGGGGGGATGGGGAGGAGGGTGACAATGGGGAAAAAAGGAGAAACATCTGTAACAAAAATAAGCTAATTAAAAATATATTAAAAAAATTTTAAAAATAAAAATAAAAAATGTGTGTCTTGAATAAACTTACAAAAGCAATTAATGACCTATGTTCAGGAGTGGTTTGGTTCAAGTACAACCACTTGGAAAACAGCGTTATTACAAGCAAAGTTATCTAGGACTTTAATTTCTTGTGTATACAACATACAATCTCCCTTTTTCTAATGCCGTATAGTTACCGTCTATATCAATCATCTGGATATGGTGATCTAGGAAACCTATGTACTTGTTTATATTTTTATTTTAACTAATTTATTATATGTATTGCTTTCTCATGCCTCTAGAAACTATAAATTCCTTGAGAGCAAGAGGCAGCAAGCACATACTTTTGATGGTCTCCCGAGGTTGTCTGCGATTGAGGGGCTTCTCAGGACTCAGAACTTTCAAAGCTAGACCAGGAAAGTCCCAGGCAAACAGAGGTGGTTGGTCACTGTATTGGCGACAATGACATGATGACAGACTTTGCAGACAGAAGGCATTTAACAAACGACTATTTAAGTGGACTCTTTCACACTTGTAAATAACAGAGATGAGAAAATGAAATGAAAATCTAGTTTCTTAATGTAGAAATCCACTGCTGAACCTTGGTACTCTTGTTCCTTTACATTTCCATAAGTTTCTATCTCTACAGATTTAGTGATCAGAAAAGAAAAGAGGTAAAATAAAGAAATAAATGAAAAAGAAGGCACCCAAGTGGATCAGAAATAAGAAAATTAATGACGGTGCCACTGTAAGGAAGAGAAAAAAAGAGGGGGCATGAATAAAGACTGACAATTAAGAGCAGCCATGAGATACAGGGAAAAACTCCTCCAGTGCACAAGCAGTCCTTTCTTTCTCAGATAGTTTATATTAAATGCAGTAAAAAAAATAAAAAAGAGAAGTTTCAATCTGATAGAAACTTAGAACAAGAACACCCAGTCTCCTTTTCCCACAATCCCTGATAGATATACTTTAGCACATACAAAAATAAATTAACCCATTTAATGGACAGAAGATTCCAGAAATTTACAAAATAACACTAGATGCTCTCTCACCATGTTGCATGGCAAAGAGAACACATTATCCCATGACCCTACCTTCTACTTGGCTTCCTTCTAAAACCCTATGGACTCTGTGATCAGCAAACACTTAGATCCTCAACTTTTCTCAACAGTCCCTGCAACTCTCAGTGGTTTCCAGTTATGGCTGGATTAGAATTACCAGAGGCACTTTGAGAAAATACTGACACTTGGGCCCCACTCCAGGCCAATAAAATTGAATCTCTGGGGCTAAAGCCCAAGCACTGGTAGTTTTTAAATTACTCCCTGAGTGATTCTATGTGCATCCAGATTGAAAATCAGAGTCACCTGCAAACTGGCCAGTTCCTGAGAGCAGCACTCCCCTATAGCCTTCTGAAATGGAGGCTGTTTGTAGCATCCCACACCCTTTGTAATTTAAGATTGGTGTCCTTATTTGTCCTAAGGCCATCTCCAGGCCATTTGCTCTCCTCCCTCAAGAAAAATCCTGTCTCATTTGAGGCTCACTCATTGGGCTATCTCAGCATCTTCCCTTCCTTCCTCCATCAGATCATTTACCATCTTCCCAGAAATTTCTGAATCCATGGTTCAATACTTGACTCATAAAACATCCTCTCCACTCAAACCCCTGCCTTAATTTTGGGTCCTTTCAAAATTAGCACAGAAAATCCAGCCAATGTCTTCAACTTCTTTTCCAATGACCTTGCCCCTCCACTTCGGCCACCTACTCCTTCAGTTTCTACTGGGACTCCCTCAGTTATACCCTGGACCTTTTATTTATTTTTTTATCCTCACCCGAGGATATTTTTTCATTTTTTGTTCAGATAGAGTGGGAGGGAAGGAGGGAGGGAGAGGGAAAGAGGGAGGGAGGGAGAGAGGGAGAGAGGGAAAGAGAGGGAGGGAGGGAGGGAGAGAGGGGGAGAGAGAGAGACAGAGAGAGACAGAGAGAGAGAAACATCAACGTGAAAGGGACACATCTGGGGACAAAATGCAACTGAGGTATGTGCTCTTAGTGGGAACCGAACCCAGGTCTCTCTGGACCACAAGCCGACACTCTAACTGCTGAGCCAAACTGGCCAGGGCTACCCTGGACCTTTTCATCATAGAAACACCATCACCTCATACATCTCTAATTCAAATATCTTACTCTGACCTCTTATTCCTTCTAGCTTACTTGTTCATACAGGAACCTCCAGCCCACTGATCCCTGCACTTTCTCAGCACCCACTTACTCACTCCCTTCTGCTTTCACTTCCCTTTTCACGAAACAGATGCCATCATTATGCTCTGTTCCAAAAGCCCAGAACTTCCTTTCCATTCTGTTCTTCCACAGTACTTACCTGGCTAACATCCAACCCTCAGAAATCCAACTATCTTCTCTTTACTTATACCTGAGCAACCAGAGGGACAGACAGACACACACACACACACACACACACACATACACACACCATTATAAATTGACTGATAACCTCAACTGGGCATTCTATGATAGGGAGCAATCTAAGTTTCCGTAGTCAACTAGTCTCCTACTACCATCTAGAACAACTATTTCACAGTTTTTCATTTATCCTCAATCTTTGCATCCCCCTCTTCTCAAGCACTGTCATTTCAAGCTGATTGCATCATCTCATACTTCAGAGAAAATGGAAGCCATCACATGGAAACCTACCTGTATTTGTACTCATCTTCTCCTTTCCCTTCTGATACAAGGAAGAAAAGTCCACCTTTTCTTTGAATTACAAACCCTTTGATTCTCACAGGAATATTACACTCAATCATTTCCTGATACCTCCCCCATCCCAATATTTTTAACCAGTCCCTTTCATAATTCCCCAACATTAAATTAGACCATGTTTTAAATCCTCCCCGTTTTAAAAACAAACAACCTTCCTGGACCCCATATTTCCCTCCAACTCTAGTCCATATCTATATTCCCCTCCACAGTCAAGATCCTTCAAAAAAACAAAGTTGCTACTTGCTCATCTCCCATTTCTCTCTTTAATTCACTCCAATATGACTTTGGTTCCCACCACCCCTATGAAATGGATTTGTTAAGGTCACCAATAACCTCCATATTGCTAAATCCAATGGGCACTCTTCAGTTACCTCATTTGATCTATTAGTAGAAATCAACAGTTGACCACTCCTTGAAATAATCTCTTCCAAAGGCTCTGACATCCTATTTATCTAGTTTATCTCTCTCTCTGGTCACTTGTTTTCAGTGTCCTTTGAGGTATCACCTTCTCTGTCTAACCTTTAAAAAGTAGAGTCCCTGTATGCATGACCAATGAACACAGACAACAAAGCTGGGGATGGGGTGGGGGGGGAAGGGTGTCAATGGGGGAAAAATGAGAAACATCTGTAACAAAAACAAATTAATAAATAAGTAAAAAAGTAGAGTTCCTTAGAGTTAAATCCTAAATCTTTTTCTCATTCTGTAACAGCATTGTCATTGGACTTACTGTGATGAAGGGCATGTTCTATAACTGCACTGTCCAATATGGTAACCAATGCCCAACCACATGTGGCTAATGAGCACTTAAATGTGACTAGTGCAATGGAAGAACTGAATTTCTAATTAATTTAAATAGGCACATGTAACTACAGGCTACTATACAGTACACACACACACACACACACACATATTTACACTAACAAACCCAGGTCCTCTTCCTACAACATGCTGTGTGATCTAAAGTTTATGTATGAAACCCAAGGATCAAGATAAAATTTTATTTCAGTGCAAATATTACTAAATGGGTAGAAATAACAAATAATTTTATTCAAATGGTTACTTAACTACTTTCTCTCTATGATCCAGTAACTTGAACTCTGGACAGAGACAGACACATGGCTAATTTCCATGCAGAAGAGGCCAGCAAAACTAACGCCACAGACTTGGTTTTTATAAGAGAAAAGACACAGTTCAGTTTAACTTTTCAGTTTTCAATGAAATACCTATTTCCACACTAAGAACAGGACATTTCAGTATCGTCTTTCAGCAGCAATGTCAGTCACTGCTGAACTACCTTTGCTCCTTTCTTTAGTGTTCTTTTTACCTTCTTTCTAAGCACAGGAAGACATAGATATTAAGCTATTTGCTCCCTTGGATACCTGCAGTAGAAGTCAGAAGCTGAGTTTACTTAGCTTTTCAGGATTAGTCCTTAAGACTTCCAAAATTCATGACCAAAGAAAAGAACAATAAAAACCAAACCAGAAAAAGCTCACCTAAAGTATTCAATGCAAATTAATGGTGCCAAGGACAGGGACTGTGTGTCTAAACAAAAGTGTGTACAATCCACAGCCCCAAGATAAGAGCCAAGCCCCACTCATCCAAGGACTCGAACAAGAGATAAGGCAACCAGTTTGATTCAGATTCATGTGGTCACACATTCTTTTCCACAGCAACCAAACAATGTCCATTTTCTCCTCCCCATATCACAGTACAATTAGGTAAGCAAAGAACAGCTTGCACAGAAAGTCAATGATGATTTGCTTCAAACAGATGCAAATGAAAGAATGAAAACAGGGAGAAGACGATGTTCTTTCTAATAAATGGATGCCTTGAGGGGATGAGGCTTAAATAAAGCCCAAAATTATTTTAAGATAAAAAGGTATGCCTGGTACAAGAGAAACTCTAACATCCCAAAGTAATATAACAAGGGCAACATTATGATTTAACACGCAAAAACAATAAATGATTTAAAAAAGCTTAAAGCATAACAGCAGTTAAAAAAAACAAAAGTCCTGGCCAGATGGTTGGTTGGAGAACTATCCGGTACACCAAAAGGTGGTGGATTCCTAGTCACAGCACATACCTAGGTTGTGGGTTCAATCCCCAGTAGGAGTGTATATGAGAGGCAACTGATCAATGTTTCTCTCCCACATTGATGTTTGTCTCTTTCTTTTTTTATTATTATTTTTTTAATCCTCATCCGAGGACATTTTTCCATTTTTTGTACAGACAGAGTGGGAGGGAGAGAGAGGAAGAGAGAGAGAGGGAAACATCGACGTGACAGGGACACATCGAGTGGCTGCCACCTGCACGACCAACCAGGGCCGGGGACAAACTGCAACCGAGGTACATACCCTTAGCGGGAACCGATCCCGGGTCTCTCCGGACCGCAGGTGGACGCTCTAACCGCTGAGCCAAACCGGCCAGGGCGATGTGTGTCTCTTTCTCTCCCTCCTTCCCTTTCTCTCTCTCTAAAAATCAATAAACATATCCTTCGGTGATGATTTAAAAAAACCCTCATAAACCTTATGTGCTTTTAAACATTTTCTGGCCCTTCCTATAATTATCAATTCCATAGCAATGATTTAACTGATAGCAATAATACTGGTAGCTCAAAGAAGTTCAGCATTAGAGAAGCAGATCATACTTTCAACTTTTTAAAAAATATGTTTTTACTAATTTTTTTAGAGAGGAAGGGAGAGAGAGAAACATTGATGAGAGAAACATGGATCAGTTGCCTCTTGCACACCTCCTACTGGGGATCAAGCCTGCAACCTAGGCATGTACCCTGACAGGGAACTGAACCAGGACCTCTCAGGCCATGGGCTGATGCTCAATCCACTGAACCACACCAGCTGAGCATATTTTCAACTTTTTAAAAGATTCTTGCCAGCCACCTGCTTCTTCTTAAGCTTAGCCTAAATGTTTTTGGGAAACAATGCTAATCTGTATGGCTGTCTGAAGAAAATGGCGAATATAGGATAAGATGGTAAAACAAAAAATGTGGCAAAAAGGTGTCTTAAATATACTGGGTATTCAAGTAAATGTTTGTTGAATGAAAATCAACTCCATTCAGAAAGATACTCACTGTTTGAAGCTATATCAATCAAAAGATTTTCTTCTGCTTCTAAGGGAAAAAAAGAACAGGATCAGAGAAGAGAATATCAGTGATTATAACCAAAAGAAGTATATGCCTAACTAAATAACTGCTTCTCTCAATCACCACTCCTGGTCTTAGAATACATTTTTTTAAAATCCTTTGCTTTTTTGTGTAGAATTTTAAAAAGGGATTTTAATAGCACTAGATACTAAAGATTATGAGCAACTCAAGTAAAAGATAAATGAACTGAACAAGTAACCAAATGGAATGTCTCAAAGCAAATCAAGGAATTACAATAGTAGGGAACATAACATGTTAATTCAAGTGAAGATGAGTTTAAATCCCCCCCAACTATAACATACAAATTTTATATAACCAGCGGCATTTAGATAATTTTTGTAAAAAGCCAGGAAAGTGACCCCAAAAGCCCAGAGGTGAATTACTTTAACTCAGATCTAATCTCTGAAAATTTCCCAGTGATCCCATTACCTCCACCCCTGCCCCATTTAGAAACAGAGAGTACCCAAAGTTCTTTACCTTCAGGCTACAACTAATACCTGTGGGTCTAAGGCCTCCCACACCCAAAAAGGAAGTATAAGTTGGGGCAAAGCACAGTCTCCAAGTTCAGAGTTCTCTTTTCTCTCCATGGCTCTCCTGGACTTCCTTTCTTACCTTTGGTGTCTAGACTCAACCTACCTCTTTTTTCTCTCTGACTTCCCTGGATTTGGCCAACAGTACCTGCCAGACCTTTCTGGCTAGTTGCACTCTGGGTACTGACTCCTTGGGATTAGCCTGGACCTACTGTGCTCAGATGGCGTAGTCTCAGCCTTTTCTAGTTCCTTCACAAGCCTGGATTGTATATTTGGCTCCATTATTCAGGCACAACAGAAGCAACTGGTAAGGAACTAAATTGTCTAATATTAGAAAACAGTCTCAATATTCTCACTAGCATGATGAAACAAGGGACGATAGGGCATAGCTATTATATATTTACCACTGTTCTTCAGTAGCTTTAATTCTTTAAAACCTGAGTATTTATACTTTTCAAAATAGAAGCAAAGGTCATGAAACAGAAAACATGAAAACTTGAGGTAACTGTTTCTTTTGTTATGGGGAACTACTGTGTGTGCACACACATATTTTCCTAGATTCCAACCTAACACTCTGCTCTGTATTTATTAAAAACAACACTAAGAGAAACAGAGTTAAAGAGACTAGAAGTAGTACAAAAAGGTATAGAGTTAATAGGATACTAATCTAAAGCCATGTTCTTTGGCTTTTTTCCTTAAAGGGCTGGGTATGTAACAAAGGTAACTTATACCATGGAAAGTGAAGTGACTACAGCAACTTGCATGGCATGCAGGTGCCTTATTAAACGTCTCTCTCACACAGTGCAAGCTAAATGGTTATGGCTTCATTCTCCTCTACAATGTGGACACCAGTCATTGCAGGTATTTTAAATTCTCAATACATGCTGTCATAAAAAGTCGTACCCACTTAGTACTTCTACTTACAAGAATAAATCCTAAGGAAATAAGAGATGTGTAGGAAGATTTATGTACAGAGATGTTCATCATATTACTATCTATACTAGCAGAAAATAACCCAAATGTCAAATGCAGGGAAATAATTACATTATAGGCCATTCATAAAACAGAAGAGTATATGGCTATTAATGAAATGGAAAAGCACTCATAATATGATGGCATTCGGAACAGACCATATATAGTTTGAGTCCCACCTACTCTAAAAGTTACATGTAGAAAAAGGGGAAATGTTACATGTTTATCTCTGAAGGATGAGAATTTGCTTTGCTTTATACTTTTCTGTTCTTTCCAAACTTTTTGTAGTATATATTACTTTTGTGATCAAAAAAGTTTAACGTAGTTTAAGAAAGAATCCATGCAAGGAAGAATTCAAGTTTTCCAAGGAGATACAGCTGATACCGAATGCTTCTGCCCGATAAAGCCAATGGACCCACTGGAAACATAATGCATTTGTTCTCTAGTAATCAGTTTCCTTTCGAGTGCAATGTGAGATGACAGAAGCAAAATCTCCTACACAAACCTCCCAATTTTTTTTATTCTCATTGTAGCAGTTGAAACAGGATATTCTGTTCTCTGTCCCTAAATTTGAGAGCAGGAAGACAAATATATCCTCCCCCGAGTTGATTTTCTTATGCTTCACCAATGTCAAGGTATACTGCCAAGTGATTTCATTTCAAATAGTGAAGGGATCAAGTGCTGAATGTGTGTAAAACCAAGCAACCTTGATATTTTACAATGAGCAGTTTGTCAGTTAACCCAAGAATGTCACTTAAATCCACATAGGGGTCTGTCAGCATAAAAGACTACCTATGTAGGTAACAGACTACATACATTTCTAACTCCTAGCCAAAGAAGCAGGTGAGAATACATACATATGTTTTCCTTCTTTCCCCCCAATATAACCCTTTAGCTCTCTTAGTTAAAGCATTTATCACGTTCTCAATAGATTTATGCAATGAGTACTATGTTTAATTTTACATACAGTAACAAATCGAAATATGTATGGTACTACACAAGGCAATAATGACTATGGAAAAACATTATAAAACTAGCTAAGCAATTAAAGCTAGTACCTTGAACACATCTAAAGTGGCTATTTATAGGAATGATATCTTGAACATGCTGTTCCTTCCCGTGCAACTGGATTATTAACCTAGGAAACAGAAGAATGCATCAACAAATAGCTACTGAAAAATCCAAACATTTAACAAAATACACTGCTGTGTTGTTACATATATCTAGTCTGTATTGATTAGGCTTGCTGTATCTTGTTCCCTGGATCTGAGCATCATGACAGCTAGATTCTGTTCCAGGTCTAAAAGGATATAGGTGGTGATCAATATTTGAATACTCATACTGTTCTACACCATTAAGAACATAGAATAATAGTCTATGTCCTAAAAACAGTTTACAATCTTAAGAGCATGAATTACAGCACATATACCTTCAGAGTATGCATACCAGAGTGAAGAACTAATAAGTATGTGTAAACTCCCTGAGGGCAGGGACTATAGTTGTCTTTTTACCATAGTATTTCTAGCACTTAGCACAGTGCCTGGCACATAGCAATTGCTCAAGTTTGTTGAATGAATGAATTAGAAATTTCATAAATTAGATTTCCAATTATATCTCCATGGCTTTTTACAAAGAATGGTTCTATCTCTTTAGTCAAGTATACAAGTTCTTAGAAGAGTAAGAGGAGATGCCCAGCCAGCTGGATTGGTCAAAATAACCCCAGTGACCAACAAAGTAGCAGATATCACCAGACTGCCTTTATATCCCTTGTGTTTTTACTCTGGTTTCCAACTTCATTCTGGTAGTTCTAGGTAAACATGACTGAAAAACTTGCCCCCCCTCCCAGTATAAAATATGAGACTTCTAAATTCCTATGTACTCCTAAAATATTACTTTTCATTGACTACTTATGCATTATAACCTAGAATCAAGGTAAAACCTACTGATAAATGGCACATTCCTGCTTCCCCCCAATCCAGCATTCTTCAGGTGGTTCTTGTTTTGCCAAGAACACTCCTCTTCCTGAGACCCACCTCAAATATCACCTCCTGTGTGAAGCTTCCCCTATTATCCCCAAGCAGAGCCAGAAGCCTCGTCTTCTTTGCATGTCCCTGTAATAGAGTACTTACATGCTCCATTATAATTACATTTATTTCATAAACTGATGTGAGCTCCTTGAAAGCAAAGACCCTATTGTATTCACTTTTGTCTCATGCCTAATACATAAATATTGGTTGAATAAACAAACTAGATTAAGCTATAAATAGAGATGCACTTCTAAATATAACTATTTAACATCTGATATTGAAAATGTTATTGTTTTGAAGGGTTTGATTCCTATTTTGTTATCTTTTGGGGAGCTTGTTGTTTTAGCTTTATGAATTTTTTCAAAAGTGTTAACTTTTAAGGAGTTAACCTGGGGAAAGAAATTGGTTAGACAGAACTAAGGGAAATAAACCAAGAGAAAGAATGCTGTTTTTCTGTTCTGATCCTAATTTGCAAAAGTTTGAATTTTAACGGGACTAGAGGAATACAGGACTCTTTCAACCTGCAAAGTTCATGAGTCGAGCAGAGAGTCCTATAAACCCAGATGGAGACCAGAAACTTGATAAAAGCTGACACAGCAAGGATCAAGGAAGAAGAACTTACTTTGAGGAAAAGGAACACATACCAATATAATCTTAAAGTAAATAGACTAGAAATAGTGTTAAACATTAGCAGTAAAGCTCCAAATGAAATGTATTGTTAAAAACTATCACAAAACAGGCAACATGGATGGGCCTTGAAGGCATTATGTTAAGCAAAATAAATCAGAGCAAGACAAATATTGCATGATCTCAAAAACAAACATAAAACAAACTCATAGAGAACAGGTTGGTGGTCCCCAGAGGTGGAGGGCAGGAAATGGGCAAAATGGGCAAAGGCAGTACAAAGGCACAAAAATCCTGTTATAAAATAAGTAAGTCATGGGGTTGTATGTTACATCCCCATAACTTATTTTTAAAAATAGTAACTATGTGTGGTTATCATTTTTTTAAAAATCCTCACCCGAGGATATTTTTCCAATTATCTTCACATAGAGTTGGTGGGGGGAGAAACACTGATGTGAGAGAGACACATCAACTGGCTGCCTACCGCACAACCCAGACCAGGGCCAGGGACCTAATTGCAACCGAGGTTACGTGCCCTTGATCAGGATCGAACCAGCGACTCCTTGGTCCTCGGGCCGACACTCTAACCGCTGAGCAAACTGTCCAGGGCATGTGGTGATCATTTCTCAACACATACAAATATTGAATCTTTTTTGTACACCTGGAACTCATATAATTTTGTATGTCAATTATATCTCAGTAAAAGAGAAAAAAAAAGCAAACCCCCATCAAAAAAAGCCTGTCAGAAAGCAAAGATAAACTAGGAATTTAAGTCAATTCCGCAAAAATTTACTGAATTATCTGTGTTAGTCACTAAATACATTGTAGCAAGAAAGTAGGACTAAGAATAATCATAAAAATGCTACCTAACCATTTCTTCTAGAACAGAAAGATGAAAATTAATAGGTACATGGCAAAACAATGGAAATCGGAATTTGGCAGTTGTCAAACAGAACAGAGTGACAAACTGTAAATGTGGATTTAGCATTATCCCTAGGAAATACTTGATTTGTTCAAGGAAGGTTAAAAATGAAACAACAGGTTGCATCATAATCTATTTTCCTTGAACAAATGTTAGTGTTTGATTCTGTTTCCAAAAAACTTATTTTTAACAGTAATGTTAGTCTTTCATGTAAATTTCTCCATGGTCAATAGCTGTAACTACAGAACTAAAGGTTAAAATAGACTGACAAACTTCAGATTAGGGGGGTGGGGGGTGGATGAGATGAACCAAAGAACTTATATGCATGTATGCATAACCAATGGACATAGACAATAATGCTGGGGGTGTGGGGGGGAGGTATCTAGGGGAAAAAGGAGAAATATCTGTAACAAAAATAAATTAATCAAATTGGGGAAAAAATAAAATAGGCTTCAAGTTCTAGGATAGTAAGGCCCCAAGTAAAAAAGTTCTGGATACCCAATTCAGAGAAAGAACCCAATAGGTAAGAATTTGAGGATTATAGATGGCATGATAGTATTACGTGTCTCTAATAAATGATTTCTAAATAAACTTCTCTGACAGTATAATTGTGAGATATGTTACATGGATTTAAATCTTTTTTTTTTGTATCCTCACCCGAGGATATTTTTTCATTTTTTGTTCAGGTAGAGTGGGAGGGAGAGAGAGGAACAGAGAGAGAGAGAGAGAGAAACATCGATGTGAAAGGAACACATCGAGTGGCTGCCACCTGCACGACTGACCAGGGCCGGGGACAAACTGCAACCGAGGCATGTGCCCTTAGCAGGAAACGAACCCGGGTCTCTCTGGACCACAGGCCGACGCTCTAACCGCTGAGCCAAACCGGCCAGGGCTGGATTTAAATCTTGACTGTTCAACATCCTAACTGAGAGCAAGTGACTTAACTTCTCTGTGCTCCAGCTTTTCTATCTATAAGAAGGATGATGATGAAAATATTACTATTTCACAGTACTGCTCACATGGGGGTTAAATGAACTAATTCATGAAAAGTACTTAGAAGAGAACCTGGCACAGATCAAGCCTTTAAGTGTCAGGTGTTGCTTTACCCCCATAACTTATACAGATATGGAACACAATAATTTGATTTTATGTGGGAAAGACACAAATAGTCAGGAGAGCTACCACTGCCAACTTTAAAAGTTCTTCTAGTACAAGAGCTCAGAGTAAGACATTTATCTCAAGGCCAGCTGTTAACTCCCTTATTAGCTGAATAGAGTTCCAAACCCACAAAACCAAGGGACCAGATCCTGGACTGTGATGATCTCAACAATATAGCAATTTTATTTAATCCTCATAAATTTGTTTTTATGTAAGAGAAAACCAAGGCACAAAAAATTTACTGATTTGCCCAAGGGTCACATTTCTCCACCCTTTTCTAGTCTTTGAAGTGGCAGTGGTGGTCCACATTTCAATTCACATTTCTGTTAAACTGACTTTTATTAAATTGGTCTTCCAGGATTTGATGTAATCTGGGAAAAATAATATGAGCTGCCTACATCAACAGAACTGACCAATAGGACCTAGGGAAGAGCTACTTCATGGAACTAGTGATATGCAGTTAGGGTGGCACCAAGTCTCAGAAAACGGCAGTGGGGATTTCTTCTGTATACTTAGACAGCATAGATACAGACTAGTCTGGACAATCTAAAAACAGGGACTGGACTCAGAAAAAAAAATTTTAAGCAAAATTCAATGTTGGGCAAGGGCAGGATTTAAATGATCAACAATTTTAAAACTCTACTGTCAAGAAACCTGTGACCAAGAGAGATGGCTTGAGCACACAGGGATAGGGACCTATGAAATGTAATGGTCACCATGGATACTTTTAAGAGGAGGCATTAGTGGCAAGGGAGTGAAATCAGCAGCTATAGTGATAGCTTATCAAAATAATCTTTTGATCCATCAGTCAACAGTGTTTACTGAGCTCCTATATGCATGGCAGAGTGGCAGGTAACACACTGATAAAATGTCGTGTCATTTATATTTCTGCACATTTCATTACTTTTTCTAACAGTCAACTCCATAAATGAGACAGTTACTGGGCGACACTAAACCATTACTGAATTATTGAATATGCCTTCTAGCAAGTGGACTAAGGGGGTGAGGAGACTGGAGGAACCAGTTGAGTGGGCTTAAAAAAAGGCACTTCTGTCAAGGTTAACAATGAAGCGATTCTATAGCACTTTTACTTTTGGTAAACCACTTTCACATTTATTATTCTTTTCAGTTCCAACTCCAAAGGCAGTAAGGTAAGCAATTAATGTTTTTATTTAACTGATGAGGGCACTAAGACTCAGAACGCTTTAGTGACTTGTCCATGGTTACACAACACATGTCATGTCAGTTGCAGGGGCAGGAACTAAGAACCCAGGCTTCCTGCTTCCCTGCCCATTGAATCCTTCCACTGAACCACACTGCCAGGAGCAATCCAGCGGCTTGGAAGTTGGGGACAAAGCCCAAGGACTGAGCACTCGCACTTCACACCTGGCCCTGAATCTGTTGCCCAAGCGGCGTCAGTGGGAGGAGGGTGTTTGGCTCCTCTGGTTTGGGGTCGGGAGATAATGGCAGGCTACCCGCCTCTGCGTGAATCAGGTGTTACTTACTCATATTGCCCGTTCCTCTGGGCTAGGGTCAGGGCGCAGGGCTCCCGGAGAGGACCCTTCGTCTCCATACCCTCAACAGTATGTGGACTTCAGTCAAGGGTCTGCACTAGAAACGCGGCCAGGGACGGATAGCGCGGGGGTGGAAGAAGACGGCCGTCACTCTGCCCATCCGCCCCTGACAGAGGCAAAGCCTGCTCCCGGCCTCTCCACCGCTAGGCCCGGCCCTGGGCCCGACCGTTCCCGCTCGCCGCCTCAGCCGCGGTCCGCAGTCCCTCCGACCCCCACCCCGCCCGGCGCGGCCTCCCCTCCCCCTTCTCTCTGGCGGATACTGCGAGGGGCTGGGCTCCGACTGGAAGCGGCGGCTCCATCCGGGCGGCCTCAGGACTGGGCCGGACTGCGGACTGCAGACGGATCCGACGACACTGCCTCCCGCGTCCTCCCACCCACACGCCTCAGCTGCGCGTCGTTCTAGGGAAAGCTCCACGCCGCGCGCCGGGAGCCGAGAACCAAGAGCCTGATCCGAGAGAGAGCGGCGACTCGCGTCCCCGCCAGTTTTCCAGGCCGCCACAGAGCCCGCCCCCTGCGGCCAACCTGCGGAACTGCAGCAAGACACCCGACGGACCGGGGCGTCTCCACCATGTCCAGCGAAGAATTCCTTTTAAATGCTGCCCTTGACACCATAATAGTTCTGGGGACTTTTAAGATCGCCACAGAAACAAAATATAGTCATACCTATGAGGGAACTCAAAGGTGTTGGACCAACAGGACCCACATCATCCATTCAAAATATCCTTATTACAGTGCCCGGTGCTGATTATCCTCTCTCAGATGTTCCTTCCTCCCCTTCCTCTTATTCCTTTCACCCCCCTATATAGGAAAAATCTCAAAAGCTCAGACCTTTGTGCCCCTTCCAGGTCACCTCTATGCAGGCAACGACCAAATATATATCCCTATCCCTTGCCTAATATACCCCATTGTTACCACAAAACCGAGTAACAAAACTAACTCATAATTTCACTCAGCCACCAGGCTTGAACTTCAAAGCCATATGCTTTCTTCCCCTCTCCTCATTTCTCTGTATCCAATCAGTCAACAAACCTTGTTAACATTTCCTTTGGAATTACTTTTAGACCCCGTGGTTGCTCTCTATTCGAACCACCATCACTTTATTGTAAACCCTGTCCTTGACCATTTTACTCTGTTGACAGTCATAGAATATTATTCCCAGAGAAATGTTTCAATTGTTATTCATTTGTTCAAGAACCTACAATAGGACTATATAACAAGACTGATTTTAAACCTACAGTAATTTAGCCCTGGCCGGTTTGGCTCAGCGGTTAGAGCGTCGGCCTGCGGTCTAGAGAGACCAGAGTTCGGTTCCCGCTAAGGGCATGTACCTCCGTTGCAGTTTGTCCCCGGCCCTGGTTGGTCGTGCGGGTGGCAGCCACTCGATGTGTCCCTTTCGCATCGACGTTTCTCTCTCTCTCGTCCTCTCTCTCCCTCCCACTCTATCTGAACAAAAAATGGAAAACTGTCCTCGGGTGAGGATTAAAAAAAAATAATAATAATAAATAAACCTACAGTAATTTAGACAGTGTGGTATAGAGGTAGACAGACCAGTGGAACAGAATACAGAGCTCCAATACAGATCACACATATATGGAACTTGATACGCAGCATGTGACATTTGAAATCAGTGGGGCAAAATGGATCATCTACTAAATGGTGCTGGGACTACTGATCATCCAGATGGAAAATTATAAAATTAGATCCCTACCTCACACCACAGAAGGGAAAAATCAATTCCAGATGGATTAAAGATCTAAATGTGAAAAGCAGATCTTAAAACTTTCAGAAGAAAATAGGAGAATATCTTTATGACCTCGGAATAAGGAATGAGAATGATTACTTAAGATACTAAAAAGCACAAACAATATGGAAATTGACTGACACATTTAACTATATTACACTTCAAAAAGTATGTACTCCAAGACAACATAAACAAGTTCAAAGACAAGCCATGGACTGGGAGAAGATATTTTCAATACATATAACTGACAAATGTAGAACCTATGAGGTTCTACATTTCCAGCTATTATCAACTCTCTGACTTCCCCTTCCACCATTCTCTCCAACTCACTCTGCTTAGATTCACTGTTCCTTGCTATTCCTAGGACTTGCCAGACACACTGTTGCCTCAGGGCCTTTGCACTTGCTGTTTATCCTGCCTGCACTTTCACTTCCTTCAGGTCTTTGCTTAAATGTCACTTTCTCAGTGAGGCCTTTCTAGACAACTTTATTTAAAATTAAAGTTCAATAATCTCCTTTCTCAATCTCATACACACATGCTACCTATCCTTCTTCCCTATTTATTGTTCTCCAGAGGGTTTATCACTATCCATTATGCTATCTATTTTATCTATTAATTTTGTTTATTGTTTACCTTCCCCTACTAGAATGTTAAGTTCCATCAGGGCAGGGGTTTTGTCTGTTTTGTTCATCACTTCATTCCCAGTGCCTAGAACCATTCCTGTAGCAAAGTAGATGCTAGAAAAATATAGATTGAATGAATTAATTAATTAGTATACAGAATATATAAGAACCCTTATAAATCAGTGGAAAAAAGAAAACTACTAGAAATATTGACAACATATATGAATACGAACTTCATAGTCAAGGAAACCCAAATGGCCAATAAAGAAATGAAAGGATGCTTCATTTTGAGATGCTATTTCTCAATCATTGGTTTGGAAAAATTACAATTCAGATAACACCAAGTGTTGTTGAGGATGTAGAACAGAGAGAACTATGGTCACTCTGAGAAGCAGTATACATTGGTAAAAGTGCCATGAAAAGGAATTTGATACCATATTATAAAATTGTATATGTAATACACTTCAACCCAGAAATTCTATTTCCATCTACAGACCTGAGCAAAATTCTACATTTTGTGCAAAAGGAGGCATGTAAAAGAATGTTAATTGCAGTATTATTTGCAATCTCAGGAAAAAAAATGGAAGCAAATTAAATGTCTATCAGCAGGTGAATGGATAAATAAATCATAATATTTGAAGTTGATTACTGTTTTGAAATTAAAACAAATAACTCAAACTATATGTATTAACAGAGTTAGATATCAAAAAATACAATGTTGAGCATAAAGAGAAAATTGCAAAACATGTTCAGTATACCATTTATATAAAGTCTGAAAATATTGTATGTTGCTCATGGTTACATAGATATAATAGTATAAGTATATAAAACATGAAAGGGCACGCCCTGGCCAGATAGCTCAGTTGGTTAGAGAGTAGTTCCAATATGCCAAGGTTTTGGGCTTGATCCCCAGTCAGGGCACATACAAGAATCAACCAATGAATGCATAAATAAGTGGAACATCAAATTGATGTTTCTGTCTCTGTCTCTCTCTTTCTCGGATCAATAAAAAACATAAAAGAGCATAATCATCACCAAATATAAAAGAGAAAGAGTGCTGAGACTGGAGAGGAGCATACAGGGAATATCACTATATCTGTGATACTTATTTTTAAAAACAATCTGAAAGTTGATGCTGCAAAATTTGATAGAATTGGGTGGTTGCTACATATATTGGTTATGTTATTTCATGTCCTTTCCTGAATTTTAAATTGTTTGCAATAAATGACAATGAAAAACAAATAAATACTATGTAGGCGAGGATCAGCAGTGTCAAATGCTGAAAACAGGACAAGGAAAATGAGGATTGAGAGACTTTCTTCAGATGTCTCAAGGAGCTCACTGGAGACCACACAATAAGTGGTGAGGGTAGAAACAAGGTGACAGACGATTAAGAAGGGACTGCATCATGAAGAAATAGAGATGAGAGACTATGTATTGCAGAGGATTGAAAATAAAAAGGAGTGAAATAAAATTTTGATTAAATTAATTTGATTAAATTAGTTAGAAGGACCAAACAGAAATACTTGGCAAAACCTGAAGCCACTGTAGAGCAAAGAGGAAGGAGCCAGTGAAGAGGGAGACATTTAAGATACTAGATGAGGAAAGCAGAAAGGTTGTAAGAAAAATCCCTTGGTAATTATAAGGGCAAGGATCCAAGGTAGAGTTGGAGGCATCAATCTTAGAAAAGATGACACTTCCTCCTCCAAGTCTGCAGTATCTCTAGCACCTAAAATAGTGCCCTGCATATAGTGGGGTACTCAAAAATTTGTTGTAAAGAATAAGAAGTTGTGCTCTGGCTGGGTAGTTCAGTTGGTTAGAGCGTTGTCCCAATACACCAAGGTTGCAGGTTCGACCCCTCGTCGAACTTGTATGTTTGATTCATACCAGAATCAAACAATGAATGCATAAATAAATGAAACAACAAATCGATGCTTCTCGCTTTCTCCTTCCACCCTCCCCTTGATCAACACATAAAAATGAACAAAAAAGGAATAAGAGGTTGTGAAGAAATGGAGGTGAGGAGAACACTAAAAACTAGTCCCTCACAGGGGAGAAGGTGATTTCTCAAAAAAAGTAATAAGTGGATGTTGTAATAACAAAAGGAACCCCTAATCCTGGTGGCTAACATTGAATACTCATGTGATAGACACTCTCCTTGTGGCTTTACATACATATTTCTCAATAAATCTCTGTAAAATACTAATACTGTTTCCGTTTTAAAGATGAGAAAACTGAGACTCAGAGAGGTTTAGCAACTTGCTCATTAACTAGTAATGAGCAGAATTGGGATTCAAAACTGACGTTTGTGAATCCAAAGCCTGAGTTTTTTAACCAACATATTTTGCCGATTATTCAGTATTAATAGTAACAACAGTAAGTGTTTATTTAGAACTTTCAATGTGCCAGGTACTATGGTACGTGCTCTATCTGAATTTAATCTGATGAAATTGAAATTGAGAGTAGAGGAGGGTTTGAGAATTTAAATAAGGCAGAGAAGGAGGGAAGGCACTGTTGGAGAGCAATAGTGAATACAGAAAAGTTAATAAAGGGTTTTAGAGCAACAGAGAGAGCCCAGTTGGAAGCAGATGGCAAGAATTTCTATGGAGATCCAAATGAGCACGTGACTGTAACTTTCTTTGGCAATGCTTGGCAGATGGAAAGCAGGAGTAGAGAAAATATACCAAGAAAGTACGTTAGGCTTGGAAATTAGTATAGCAAGCACAGCTTAGGATGCACTAAAATAGCTGGCTCTGGAGTCAAAGTTAGATGAAGATATGAGTCCCTTCAGACTAGGGCCAGCAGAGGGGACAAAGGCTAACTTGACAAATTTAATCATTTCCCTAGGCCTGATCCTGTGGCAAATTGTTGTATCTCTTTTGTGGGGATCATTTTGGGGACTCTGCTTACTATGTGCTTCTGTATGTGTGAAGTTATTTTTGTAAGTTGGCTAAAATCACTTTTTTATTCACAACCGCCTTCTGACTTAACCTGTGGTTGTTAATGATGCTACTGTTTAACTAGTCATTCAAGTGTTAAACTTCAGGTTTATCCATGAACCCTAGTTCTCCTTTACCTATGATATCCCATAACTCAAGTTTTGTCAGTTCTACAGTAAATTCCTTGATGTATAGCTATGATCATTTTCACCTATCAGATGGTATTTTGCCTTAACCAAATAAAGGTCCTGTGCCCTATACCTGTATTTACATACAAGAGACATCCAATGCAAAGAGTTAAATGGCCATTAAAAAAAATTCAAATAAATGAAACTCTAGCTTCAAGAAACCACAAGCTTCAACACCTTCATCACCACACACACACTTAAATGAGTGCTCAGTGACTGTCTTTATCCATTAGACAACTATAACTAAGTGCTTAGATTTATGGGCTTTTTAGAGACAAACCATAAAATTGAGATCTTAAAAAGAGACTATATATAAAATACTGAAAGAAAATGGAAAACTCAAAATAATAGCAATTTAATTAAATGGTTACAAACTATAACATTATACCCACTTCACTAATTATTGAATTTTGTT